TTTTGGCTTTCTGTTAACTGTATTCTGAATTATTTCTAATCATCTTTACTAAGTTGGATTTTTCACTTGCAAAATTCTGGTCTGGTATGTTCTGAGGACCACGAAGGTAAAAACCAGTGCCAAGTCTCTTTTAATTATATATCCTAAGTGGCATTTTCTTTGGTCACAGACCGTTTCTGGAGTGCTATTTGTTGATTTATGCACGGAGAAAAAATTAAAACCATTTTTCCTGAAAACAGAAAATTCAGCTCGGTCAAACCATTTTTCCTGAAAACAGAAAATTGTTAGGGATCGCCGAACTTCGGACAAATGTCGACTCGACTCGGCAGAAACTCAGAACACAGGTTCTTATTTGCAAACTAAATTAGAACTAAGAAGGTGTGTGTGATTGGGCCAAGCAGTGTGCAGCAATAATATACATTTTGCAATACACTGTCAGGACCATTTTATTGCCATTTGATTTACAGATCAAGTGAGGAAAAGGTAGCTTATAAAAGGAAAAACAGCAGGAGAAATACAAAATCTATATTTCCGATGAATCCTTTTTCCTTGTATTGCTCACTTGGTCTATGAATAAAATCAATAATTAGTGACTGTCCCCTAGGACCTGGCCAGAAGATGTTCTGCATTGTTTAAAGGGATACTATAGTGCCAGAAAAAAACACGCTCTCGCTTCCCCCTCCCGCGGCGCTGAAGGTGTTAAAACCCTTTTCTCTGCACTGGGAAAGGATCCGCCCCTGCTCCTCCCCTGCCGACGTCAGCAGAGGACGCAATGTCTCTATAATGATGTCACAAGAGGTGGAGCAGGCAGCAGCACTAAAAGAGTCTCAATACTTTTTTAATATTATTTATTGATTTTTGGGAGGATGGGGCGCTAAATCTAATTAAGGATAAGGCCAGAGAAATCTTGCAGCAAACTGTGATTGGCTAACACAGGACAAAATGCAAATACAATTAAATAAAAGTAAATATATGGCCAGATGGTATGAACCCAATAATAACCAGACCATGATTTTTCATCTTTCTCATTTCTTTTGTTTCTGGTACAGTGCAAATCTGTGTCATTATGCAGATGTGGCAGCCATATTCCCATAAGGGAATCTATTTGCAGACTGGGACATACAGACTTGTGAGATTGACATTGTGATGGTGACGTTATTTGAAGGGTTTTCAAAAACAATAGTCTGGAATCTCTAACAGCAATGTCAACAGCTGAAGTCAACATGGTTGTATGAAGGGCAGATTATGTCAAACTAATTGCGTTCTACAAAGAGGAAAGTATGGTAATGATCAAGGTATTTCAGGAGAAGTGATCTGCTAAAATTTTACATTTCAAAGAGTCCAACACAAAAGGTTACTGTATAAATAAAGAGATAATAGGGAAGTACCCGTGCTTGATATTAAAACTAACTTCATGATGGAGTGCAGAAAGTAGAGTACAGAAGACTTGGATCTACTTCTCTCAAATGTATTCACTGATGACCTTGAAGTGGACATTTAAATCTCAATTATGGCAAATGACACAAAATTAAATAAGACAATGCAATCAGGATACAATATGGCTTCTATACTTAGCACGCAGAGAAAATTTGTCTCAGCCCAAAAACATTTTTTAAAAATAATAATTGTTAGGGTGGTCTGAATGGCTGTTTTGGTTAGAATTAATTTCATTCATGTGATCATTTATGGGAAACCGATTTGGACAAACCAAAATGTTGTGAAAATGTGAAAATTGGTGTACTGCAAAATATAAATATTGTGTATAGATACGTTTTGGTTTATAGATCAAGTGAGAAGACGTAACCAATTCAGGGAAAAAGTGAGAGCGCATTAAAAATAAAATCTATATTTATAATTTACATATTCCTTATATACAGTGAGGGAAAAATTGATTTGATCCCCTGCTGATTTTGAATGTTTGTCCACTGACAAAGAAATTATCAGTCTATAATTTTAATGGTAGGTGTATTTTAAGGGAACACTATAGGGTCAGGAACACAAACATGTATTCCTGACTGTATAGTGTTAAAACCTCCATCTAGCCCCCCCTGGGCCCCTCATGCCTCCCTAACTTTAGCAAAATTTTACTTGTATTCAAGCCTGAAGCTGTAACTCTGCATGCTGTTAGACTCAGAAAAACAAGCAGTTTGCTGACATCATCAGAAGTGGTGGCCTGAGCCAATCACAATGCTTCCCCATAGGATTGGCTGAGACTGACAAAGAGGCAGATCAGGGGCAGAGCCAGCATGATTCAAACACAGCCCTGGCCAATCAGCATCTCCTCATAGAGATACATTGAATCAATATATATCTAGGAGGAAAGTTCAGTGTCTGCATGCAGAGGGTGGAGATACTGAATGTTTGGATGCATTTTAGGCAGCCATGACCCAGGAAGCACCTCTAGCACCCATCTGAGGAGTGGCCAGTGAAGTTATCACTTGGCTGTAATGTAAACACTGCATTTTCTCTGAAAAGACAGTGTTTACAGCAAAAAGCCTGAAGGTAATGATTCTACTCACCAGAACAAATTCAATAAGCTATAGTTGTTCTGATGACTATACTGTCCCTTTAACAGTGAGAGACAGAATTAAGAAAAAAAATAAATCAGAAAAACTCATGTCAAAAAAGTTATACATTGATTTGCATGTCAATGAGTGAAATAAGTATTTGACCCCGTTGACTTGGTACTTGGTGGCAAAACCCTTGTTGGCAATCACAGAGGTGAGACGTTTCTTGTAGTTGGCCACAAGGTTTGCACACATCTCAGGGGGGATTTTGTCCCGCTCCTCTTTGCAGATCCTCTGCAAGTCATTAAGGTTTCGAAGCTGACATTTGACAACTTGAACCTTCAGCACCCTCCACAGATTATCTATGGGATTAAGGTCTGGAAACTGGCTAGGCCACTCCAGGACCTTAATGTGCTTCTTCTTGAGCCACTCCTTTGTTGCCTTGGCTGTGTGTTTTGGGTCTTTGTTACGCTGGAATACCCATCCACGACCCATTTTCAATGCCTGGTGAGGGAAGGGCGTTCTCACCCAAGATTTGATGGTACATAGCCCCTTGGTCCATCGTCCCCTTGATGCGGTGCAGTTGTCCTTTTCCCATAGCATAAAAACACCCCAGAGCATAATGTTTCCACCTACATGTTTGACGGTGGGGATGGTGTTATTGGGGTTGTAGGCAGCATTCCTCCTCCTCCAAAGACAGTGAGTTGAGTTGATGCCAAAGAGCTCGATTTTGGTCTCATCTGACCACATCACTTTCACCCAAATCTCCTCTGAATCATTCATATGTTCATTGGCAAACTTCAGACGAGCCTGTACATGTGCTTTCTTGAGCAGAGGGACCTTGCGGGCGCTGCAGGATTTCAGTCCTTCACAGTGTAGTGTAACCAATTGTTTTCTTGGTGACTATGGTCCTAGCTGCCTTGAGATCATTAAAAAGAATCTCCCATGTAGTTCTGGGCTGATTCCTCACTGTTCTCATGATCAATGAAACTCCACAAAGTGAGATCTTGCATGGAGCACCAGACCGAAGGAGACTGACCGTTATTTTGTGTTTCTTCCATTTGCGAATAATCGCACCAACTGTTGTCACCTTCTCACCAAGCTGCTTGGTGATGGTCTTGTAGCCCATTCTAGCCTTGTGTAGGTCTGCAATCTTGTCCCTGACATCCTTTGACAGCTCTTAGGTCCTGGCCATGGTGGATAATTGAAATCTGATTGATTGATTGATTGATTGCTTCTGTGGACAGGTGTCTTTCATACAGGTAACGAGCTGAGATTAGGGGAACTCCCTTTAAGAGAGTGCTCCTAATCCCAGCTTGTTACCTGTATAAAAGACACCTGGGAGCCAGAAATCATGCTGATTGATAATGGATCAAATATTTATTTCACTCATTGACATGCAAATCAATTTATAACTTTTTTGACATGTGTTTTCTTGAAAAACAAATTTGTTATTCTGTCTTTCACTGTCAAAATACACCTACCATTAACATTATAGACTCATCATTTCTTTGTCAGTGGACAAACATTCAAAATTAGCAGGGGATCAAATATTTGTTTCCCCTCACGTTACATTTTTTTGACTGCTCCCCTTTTTTCCTCTTTTGGTCACTTTTCACTTTATCTGTAAATAAAATCAGCATTTAGTGGCTCTGTTGCAGCCATCAATCGTCTCTTCCCCATCAATCTTCAGTTAGTTTGGCAAATTTTGGAAAAAAAAACCAACATGCATTATTTACGGATACCAGAGAATTTAAGTAACTCTGCTTTCTGCTTAGAGTGTATGATACAAGAAATACTATTTTCTCGGTCTTCCTATTATCCCATTTTGCTATAGACACATAAATCTGTTTCTTTTCTATATTGTATACAATAGGGGCTCTCTATGCTACATAAACCTCTATTTAGATTTAATTTATTTTGTGTAATAAATTAGTAGAATGGCTCAGGTATTCATTACTTTTTTCAATGTTTACATTGTGTGACATATATATTTAATGAGTTACAATGGTCGTCAGGTCCAGTTTTTTCTAGGTTTGAACTGATGAAATCTTAAAACTTACAGTTCCTTTGAGAAATATGTACTCCTTATTCTAAGTCCACAAAACCCTCTTCAGAATAGTCCATGGTCTCTTAATTGTCATTCATCAAATCTACATCCTATTTGCTCAACTTAATCAGTGGGTCCAATCTGCAGTTCTACTAGTTCCCATCCTGTCACTTGGTTCTGATCCCCCAGGCTGCTCTTCCAATCGTGTTTACTACACCACTTCCTAGATTGTAAGCTCCTTTGAGCAGGGTCCTCGCCAACTTATTGTTCTTGTCACAATATTTAATAGTTTGTCTTGTTTTTTGTTAAATTAACACTTTTTAATATAGTAAAGTGCTGTAGAATATGTGTTTGCTGTATAAATGCCAATATTAATATTAAAAATAATAAGAAGAAGAATTTGGTGGGATATACATGGGATTTACTGCGTTTTAGCTTCAGAGTTAAACACTATCATCCTGGGTCTGACCATTAAACATGTCCCTGTCATTAGAACGCTGTGACCCTGGGAGGGACCGACCATTAAACATGTCACTGTCATTAGTACGCAGTGACCCTGGGAGGGACTGACCATTAAACATGTCACTGCCATTAGTACACTGTGACCCTGGGAGGGACTGACCATTAAACATGTCACTGTCATTAGTACACTGTGACCCTGGGAGGGACTGACCATTAAACATGTCACTGTCATTAGTACACTGTGACCCTGGGAGGGACTGACCATTAAACATGTCACTGTCATTAGTACGCTGTGACCCTGGGAGGGACTGACCATTAAACATGTCACTGTCATTAGTACACTGTGACCCTGGGAGGGACCGACCATTAAACATGTCACTGTCATTAGTACACTGTGACCCTGGGAGGGACTGACCATTAAACATGTCACTGTCATTAGTACACTGTGACCCTGGGAGGGACTGACCATTAAACATGTCACTGTCATTAGTACACTGTGACCCTGGGAGGGACCGACCATTAAACATGTCACTGTCATTAGTACACTGTGACCCTGGGAGGGACTGACCATTAAACATGTCACTGTCATTAGTACACTGTGACCCTGGGAGGGACCGGCCAATGAACATGTCACTGTGATTAGTACACTGTGACCCTGGGAGGGACTGACCATTAAACATGTCACTGTCATTAGTACACTGTGACCCTGGGAGGGACCGACCATTAAACATGTCACTGTCATTAGTACACTGTGACCCTGGGAGGGACTGACCATTAAACATGTCACTGTCATTAGTACACTGTGACCCTGGGAGGGACTGACCATTAAACATGTCACTGTCATTAGTACACTGTACACTGTGTATACAGGATTAATTTGATAAAAGCAAATTAAAACCGTGTCAAAACTAAACAATTAAAGTGTTAGTGCATTGACGAATATACTCATAATGCAAATCAATATGTGCTAAATGAAGGTTATAATAAAAAAGTGACATTACTATTCAAAAGCATCTCACCTCCAAAGCGGCCTCAGAAGCTAGGGGTTTGGGCGGGGTGCTTAACCCCAAAGGGAATGCCCAAAAAGACTTTCTAGAGTCTAAGTGTACCAGAATTCCATCTTAACTCATTGGCTTCCAATCCTTACTGTGGCGCAACATTGAACCAGTGGATAAAGATTTGCCTTTTTAATAATAGCTTGACATAAGGTGCCTACCACTTATCCGAGTTCCAAGGAGTTATTGATACATGTCATTACCATTAGCATCCAGTCTGTTTGTGTTTTCCAATCCTCTCAGTATGGATCTCCCATCCAACATTACTCACTGTGAACCTTCAGAGGCTAATTCTTCAGCCTTTAACATGCCTAAGTAGAGACTCAAGCGTGTGTAAGATGAATGGAGCCATTACTAATTGATCGATACTTGTAGCAGTATTAATGGCCTTTCCTTTTGCCAGCAAGATAATAGAAGCCTACAAACTGCAAACTGTGTGTTGGAACGTGAAGTCATTACCTTCTAATTGTCTCCACTGATCCTTAGATCCTGCTAACTTTCTCATCCACATAGAGAGCTCAGGACAAAAAGATTTTATTTCTTCTATATATTATAGCAGGTACACTAACCTAGCTGATCTTTAAGGCTGGTTAAAGAATGCCAAAATATCAACGGTTACATTATTATAACAATCAGTTTTTAAGGATTAAAAATATTTGATCTATTTGTCTTAACAATTAGACCACTTCCCAGGAAAGACATCTTTTAGTTGTCTTTCATCTAATTTTTTCATCTAGTTTCTCTCTAAGATCTCTATTAATTGTGTCTATTTCCAAATCAAAACTCTAGCTAGACACACCAACCTGCAAAGGGTTTGGTCTGTTTATATTTTCAGTGACTTCAACAAAGCATCACATGCTATTCAATTTGTAAGAAAGACGAGCCACAGACTAGTTTTAGTGCTTATCTTATCGGTCAAAGTATTGTGTATGGACAGAGGTAATGACAGAGGTAATAACCCGCCACGATAATGACATTATTTACAAAAACGTATCCTTAAATTAATTACATAATGCGTATACATATTATAAATAGCAGTTAATAAATCAATGAAGAAATCTGCATTTTTTGAGTGGAAATTGCTTGAAATTGGAAGATTCTATTTTACTTCATTCGGTTCGGTTCTACAACACTAAGGAGGACACTGTTTGGTGGAAACGTTCCCACGAACAAGGGGAACAAGCTCCAGGGTAAGAATATTGACTATGTTCGGTAGTTTCTTTGGTTTTAAACTACTGAACTAGACTGACCACTAGCCCTGATCTTATGGAACTGTTTTGGGCAGGAGCCTCGTGTGCGGTCGAACAAGTTAAGACTTCCACGAAACCCCTGAACCGAGCTGGGTGATTTTTGGATTTGTTGGTGATCCAGATGTAGCTTTTAGTTTTTTGGGGTTTTTTTGTATTTAAAAGGTACTTTGGGATGTTTGTTAAATGTGTGTTTTTTTTTTTACTTTAGAGAACTGTGTTTTGTACAGTTCCTGACTCAATTATCTCCCAGACATAGGGGAAGGATTATCCTGTTTTTGGTGGGAGTGTCATGGGTGTGCTTGTCTGTGTTCAGAATTGGCCAGATTAAATCATTTTGTCATCAGGATTTGATTGGCTGTTGGCATAACTTGCTATATGTTGGGTTTATTTTTATCTATTTTTTAATTCAATTTATTGATAAATGTTTCTTGGGTTTTAAACTGATTTATGTAAAGAATATGTTATAGACCTGCTTTATACACATAATTCAGCTAATTTAATATAATTTTTATCATTAAAGTTACAACATAATTTGCAGCAATGTATAGTTGGTAACTGATACACACAAATGCTTGCAACAATACAATTCAAGTCAACAATACAAGTTACAAAGTTACATGAAACACTCTTAGACAGGATAAACGCTAACATGAGGAAAAGATGCAAAGACAAGAGCTTTATAATAAGAATTTATATATATATATATATTTAGAAAAAATGAGAGCACTCACTGGATTTGTGATAAATCTTATATTAAATTATGAGCAAAAAAGTAAATCAACGTTTCGACCGTCAAGCGATCTTGATAAAGACCGCTTGACGGTCGAAACATTGATTTACTTTTTTGCTCATGATTTAATATAAGATTTATCACAAATCCAGTGAGTGCTCTCATTTTTTCTGATTACATATTTGAGCACTGAGAATGCACCCTGGTCAATTTTTTGAATTAGTTTGAAGTCACATGGGAAGAGTGCTAGAATTTTGGATATATATATATATATATATATATACTACTATAGACACAATATAATATAATTTAAGAAACATAATACAATAATATGGAAAATCAGAAGCAGTGGTTGTAGTGCCTTTTAGGTCCTTTGTGCTTTATGGAATGACAAAAATAGTCGAAAATACAGGAAATGATAGTGTAGCATATCTTAAATATGTAGGAAAAAACAAAAAAGTGCACTTACACTTTCTGGAGCTAAAGCACAGCTCCAATGTATGTGCTTGAGGAGTATGGTCCCTGCTTGTGTATATAGTGTGGCTTCTTCTCTATGGGTAAGTCCTTGTTTGTTATGGTGGAAGATCTTGTGGAAAGAGAACAGAATAAGATAATATAGAGTAGTATATCGGTTGAAGGATATTATGTGGGTAAGTATATATGCACTCACATATAGTGGAGCCCTACATTGGCTTCTAAAGTATAGCATGAAGTGGTATGATGCCTACTCTGGGATACATAGGGAGGGCAGGTACTCTTTATATGGATATGGAAGGACAAGATAAAACAATATAGTACACACTATGTGAGAGTATAAAATCCAACTTACATTAAAATGAGCAAATATGGATTGCTAAATTCTACAGACATAGGTGGTATATACCCCCCTCCAAAAAAAACAACAATATCTGCAATCCATTAACATGTCTCACCTTTTATTTAGGCTTTATCAAAGTGTCACAGGATATAGGGACCTTCTCTGTTTAAATAGCTGACATTCAATTTTAAAATAATGTTCATGTAAGGTCATAGTCAAAAACAAGTATAAAAAAACTAAATATAGACTAGATGGGAAGGAGAGGGAAATCCTTGATTTTTCTTTTTGGTTCATTTGCAATCTATTAATCGAAAAGAACCCCCATTTTATGGATAACCCTCACATCAATTTGGAGTAATCCCTTTCTTCCCTATTAAGTCTTTATTTAGTTTTTATTCTGTTTTCCTTCCATGAGATGTTCCACCATAACCCACAAGGACTTGCCCATAGAGAAGCAAGTAGTCACACTATATCCACAAATGGGGATCATACCGCTCAAGCACATAAGTTGGAGCTGTGCTATCGCTCCAGAAAAGTGTGCACTTTCTATTTCTATTTCTGCTATAAATGATCATTCTATAAACCACAAAAGACATTCAAAACAATCCATCCCCTCTCCCTGATTTTTCACATTTCGGTTCCCGGAGAAGTGAGACACTAGACCTAGCCGACTGTTGGGCCGACTGTTAGAACTGTACCAGTCTATCAAAACACTGAATTTTCCTTTCTTTCATTTTTCTATAATTTAATCATAACCGAAAAAAAGTAACTGAAACATAAATCAACATTTTAATTCAAACTAATGGTTTCATTAAAAAAAAAGTTTTTATTTTGTAACTTTACTTACTGTATAAATGAAAACAAATGGTCTAGCAAGATTTTCGAAACAAATTTTAACTAATTATTGATTTTTTTATTGTGGCCAAGAAATGAAAGTAGTAAGTCTGTCTGCTTTAGGTTAAATTGCTTGAAACAAACCTTGGTTTGTGCTGTTGGAGTCTGCTGTGCTTTGGAGATGTTATAAACAAATCGACGGACGCCAGATTTTATACATAAATTTATTTTAGACACGAGCACACCACTAATTCTCTGTGCACACATAGAAATGCCTTAATCCTAATAATGAAATTCAACAAACAATACCGACAAAAATAAATACATCCATTTTAACACTTGTTTTTCCTATTACTAAAAGTAATATATATATGAAAACAATGTATTTTGCAGAATTTTGTTAATGTTAAAATATCATCAAAACTACTTATATGTTGTGGTAACTTAAAATCAATTCAACATTTTTAATTAAAAAAAATAAAATAAATAATGTTTGATCTACCTGCCACACACATCATCATTTGTATTAAAACTCAAATTTAAACAATCCTTTTTCTTTCACAATTCAAGATTTAAAAAGCGCTTTGTGTTATTAACTGACCATTAAATGCCACAATTTAGGCCCAAACTGTTTTCCTTAAAAGGATATTGTAGGCACCTAAACCACTTCATCTCATTGCAATGGTCTTGAAGCAGTGTCCTTGTACTCCTTAGTTTTTAATGACAAAAAACTACAATGATTACATGGCAATACTAAGGCTGCTTCCATGGGCAGTTTACCAGAAAGCCACAAGAGGCGCTTCCTGGAGTTTCACATGGTGTGCTATCAGTGCTGGCCTCCCCAGATGAAGGGCATTGCTCCCCTGACAGCACCAAGCGACGAGAGGTCAACATCCAAATCCCCAACAGACAAATGGAGGTTACAGCCAGCATGCGAGAAAGAAAGTGCGCACATAAAGAATGGTGCTAGAACAAGGTTTTATATATAGTTATCAAAAAAGCTGAATTTACCGAACTGTG